GGATGGAAAGAGAGTGATGGAATAGAAAAAGCCTTTAATTAATTATTTCAATTTAAACACATTTTATGCTTACAGCCGAGAATGGGGCCAGAGTGTCTAGGCTAACAAACGTGAAAAAATCCCCCCCCCCCCCCACACCCCGGAAATGCTTAGACCTTATCCTTGACCTTAGTGTTGGAGATAATGCCACAAAGGTCTGGTCCACTTTAAATATTGCATGCCAAAGACTTCAGAGGATAGAAGCCCACAGATTTCCTCCCCCAGGAAACATTTAATAGTTACCTGACACTTGGTACAATCTGGTCATTGCAAAGGCAAATTCATGCTCTTCAGAAAGTAATTTTATGAGTCCCTGGGGTAAGAAGTCTCTGATAGCCATGCCAGAGCAGTAGCCGAAAAGGAGCTAACTCCATCCAAGGCAGGGATCACGTTATCCTAACCCTCCCTTTAATTTGAAGGTGGAATTTTAACAAGTGCTCCTGGGAGCTCCCTCCAGTACAACAATGAACAAGAAAGACTGCCAAGGAAGACCGGTGTATAAGTAGCCAGTCTCAGAACAAAGCACAGACTGTTACACAAACCACACAGCAAGGGCAGAGGTAGATTATTAAAAATCAGTTTCTCCCGTGGGGTCACCCAACTTCCACCCAGGTACTTCTTCCAAAGTATTTCTAGGTCACTGGGAAACAGCCTGATGCTAACGAAGAGATTGAATCAGAGCAGCTTTCTATTGTCAGTACCAAAGGGCTGCCTGTTACTCTGTTGTAATAGAATCAGAAGTCAGGCACGGCAATTTTATATATAACAATCCATTTAAAAGTATGTGGCTGTATTTTTTGTGGGTATATGTATTTAATCTAGATCAACCAATTTTTTCTCAAATTACAAACTCAGTAGCAGTGGATTTCTGCATTAATTTGCTGAAAAGCGATTGTACTGAGAGAGTGGGGATCACAGAGATGATGAAGTATCTTCCCCATAACAGTGAAGCCCCATGTCAGAATCTTTGTTTGTGGCAGATGGCTACTGAGAGAGACTCACAGTCTGAAGTGTGTAGCCCCTAAAATACATGCATCCAGAGCGACCATCTACATCTACTACAAGCTGCTACCCTGACTTGCCTAAGTGTCCAACAGAGTTCAGTCTCCAAAACCTATTGAAGCACTGGCTTCTCTAGTGGGTACAGGTAAATTGTGGTGAGTTGATGATACAGGCTAGAAGTTTGGTGAGCTACCTGACTCAGTGCTCCCATTCTAGCTGGCATCACTATGTCTGGGTATGAGAGAACTGTACCTGTTTTGGCATGATCCCTGGGATGCTGTCCTTGGCGTGTTCAGGGATGTAGAGTATTTTCAGGTGCTCATCATCCGAGAGAGCTTGCAAGTCAGCAGTCACCTTCCTGGCCAGCTCCTCTTCCGAGTTAATTCTTTTATAATTGTCTTTATTGATGAGCTTGGCAAACTTGGATGCTATAACAGTCCCAATGTCCACAAAGGCATAATTGTCTGCTACAAGCTTCCCCACAGTTTGCAACATCTGTGGCACCTGTGCACGCAGGTTGGCAATGTGCTGAGCTACAGCCATGGCTTCACTGGCCTGGATAGTGATATGTGGCTCCACCCCAGACACACTCCATACTTTGCCAGTGACTGGGCTGAGCACCACTTGGCTGGGGATGGAGGCGTACAGGGAGCTGTTGCCAACACGATAAATGCCCACTGAGAGGGAACCACCCACTGTGGGCTCACCAATAACTGTGGCCCGGCGTAGATCCTTCATAGAGCGAGTGAAAGCTTCAGCTGCTGAGCCACTCATGTGGCTTGTTAGGATGTAGATGTCCTTGAGGGAGCCATATCTCTCGCCAGTGACTTGCGGAAGAGTCCACACCTCTGTGCTGCGGGAGGTGCTGCGATCAAAAACAGTGTAGAGGTGTTGCCGAGGCTCAGGCTCAAAGAAGTAGGAACAAAAGATTGGGATGGCAGTGGAGTAGCCACCTGTGTTGTACCGCATGTCAATGATCATGGCATCTGTGTCCACCAGCTTGTTCCATACCATCTGCACCAGCTGGGGTCCAATAGCCTTCACTGTTTCTGCCTCAGCCATCATATCAAAGCGAAGGTAGCCCAGGTTGCCTGGCAATACATCTATTTTGAAGAGAGCCTCAATGATATAGCCCAGCTCCTCAGGGCTGGGAATCAGGTTAGGGAGCTGTTCTTCTGGGGTTGGTTCCACATGGCTGTGGAAGATGTGAAGCCGATGGTCCCCTGAGGCCTCCTGCAAGTCACTGGTAAGCTGAGAAGCCAATGTCTCAAAGTCTACAGCTGACCGATAACCTCCTCGGGCCTGTTTAGTGCTGAGCATAACACTTGCCTTCCCAGCCACTTCTGGGATGGCATAGTGAGCCTCTAGGAGTTGCCCAGTAGCCTCTACAAGTACCCCCATAATCCTGTGGAAAGCCAGCACCTCTTCAGCCTTCTGCAGCGCATCCTCAGCTAATACAATGGAGTCAGGCACAACTCCTCCACCCATCCAGCTTTCCCCGTGGTTGTCAACGAAGGTGATGACAGGTACTGTGATGGTCAGGCCACGAGTTATTCCCTGCTCAGGCTGCAGCAGAGGGAAGGTGCGGGTGTGTGACAGGCTGCCTGCTGTGATCTCACCGATCAGTGTAGCACGGCCCAGGGACTGCATGAGGTAAGCGAACTCCTCAGCAGCTGTAGCAGTGTGGTGGCTGGTGAGCAGGTAGATGCCACGTTGAGCCCCATAGGGCTGGCCCAGCAGTTCTGCCTGGCTGTTGTGCTCCTGTGTGTGGTTGGTGCGCCTATCGTAGGTTGTGAAGAGGTGGACAGGGCCAGCAGCAGGATCTTGGAAATAGGACAGTAGCAGAGGCACAGCAGAGGAGGATGGGCCTCCAGGGTTGTAGCGCAGGTCCATGATCAAATTTTCTGTATTTTGGAGGGGCTCCCATACTTCATGTACAATGTAGGGTCCCAGCTTAGCCAGCACAGAAGCATCAGCAAACTCATCAAAGCGCATGTAGCCCACATTGCCTGGCAACACTGACACCTTGAAGACAGTATCCACCAAGGCATGCAGCAGCTGCTCGTTATCGGGTAGGTTGGCTGCCACTGCAACTGGCTTCTCAGCAGGCGGACTAACAGCTTCACCCGGCATCATGATTCGGACCAGCAGGCGGGGATCCTCAGATAAGGTCTGCATCTCACTGTTGAGCTTGGTGGCCAGATCCTCTGCTGACTGCACAGAAGAGAAGTCAAAGGTGGTGAGGTGCTGCAGCAGCACTGGCACCCGCTCCACTAAACTGTAATTGTCCTTTAATATGCCTGTGAGTCGGCTTAGGGTGCCAGGCACTGCTCTGCGTACTGCCAGGATGTCTAGGGATTTCTGCAAGGCTTGGTCTGCCTCAGTAGCCACACATGGCATCACCCCACTCACTTCCCAGCTCTGCCCACCTCCACTCAGGGGGCTCACAGATCGTGACACAGGAACCATTAGATAGAAATTAGAGGGGCCAATACGCAACTTCTGGATGTCCAGTGAGCCTCCAGCTGTTTTTTCCCCAACAGTGATAGCTCTGTGCATATGCTTGAGGATGTACGCCACGTCTTCAGCCACTCCTGTGGTGTGGCGGCTGATCAAAACAATGACATCCTTGTCCTTGCTGTACCTCTCTCCCAACACCTTTGGCAGAGTCCATATCTCTGTGGTGGCATTGGAAGGCCGATTATATACAGTCTCAACGTGCAGCACCTTGTCTGCTTCATGCAAGTATGAGATGATGAAGGGGAGGCCAGAGATCTGTCCTCCAGTGCTGTAACGAAGATCTATCACTAATGCAGAGGTGTCTATCAGTGTCTTCCACACCTTGTCCACCAGAAAAGCACCAACCTTCTGCACAACTTCTTGGCCTATGATATAATCAATCCTCAGGTAGCCAACATTGCCCACCAGCTTGTCATACATGACCACATGCTCAACAAGACTCAGCAGTTGTTCACGAGTGGGGGAAGCCTCAGCTTCTTGTTTGGGAGCTGCATGAGGCAACGGCTCATAGGAGATCACCAGTCTTGGGTCATTCAAAGCACCCTGCACTCCAGCTGTCAAGACACTGGCCAGTGTTTTAGGATCTGAGATGTCCAGGATCTCTCCACTCTTGATGGCTTGTTCAATGGCTTCTTGCATCCCCACCAGGTTTTCAGGATAGCAGTAGTTATCCAGAAGGACTTTAGCCATGTCCAGCACTAGAGTTGGCTGAAAGATTTTCTCAGTAGACATGCCGCACACAATCAGGGCTGAAAATAGCAAGAAATGCATCCTGATCATTTTGTATCTCTACGGAATAGAAAATAAATTGTACTTAGGAAAGAA